GTGGCATCACATCCACACACCTCCTCCTTGGAAAGTCTCTCACATTAAGTTAACATGTCCCCTGGGTCCCTTGTGAACAATACCACATACCTGCCTGGATCCCAAGGAGACCAGACGTGTGTCTTTGCCAAAAGGACTTTTTTGCACCTCACGCACAAACTGAGAGAGCTGGGAGTGAGTGCGGCTGCAGTAATAAATCTACAACGAGGAGGAAGAAAAGGAAGACAAGAAGAACATGGAAGCCAATCCCCTACGTACAACCAATCCTGCAAAGAAGCAGCCAAGCACCTCAGCAAGGTTAATCTTGCTCAAACCTTCAAAAACACAAGGGAAGGCATGTGTTTGAGTGTCACCTTACAACTGTTGAGGCCAACAGCCTTATCTTTGTTTTCTCCTATACATTTGCCTTTGTTTCCATTTAATTTTCCAAGGTGCCTATAAAAACAGGGATTCACCACTGGAGAGCAATAAAAACCTGTTTCTTGCAGTGTACTTTTACAGCAAGCCACAGCAAAAATTCAGCAGCATTAGCAGAGCAAGCTGCTTAGGCAGCCAGTGTAGTCCAGAAGGAGATGAGCACAGCAGAACTGGTTGCTGTTATCAAAAAACTTGGCAGTTCCTGGAGGCTAGTTCCTAAATCGTTCCATACCGCATGACTCTGGGAAGGGTGCAAGGAAGCTATAATTCTGCTCAGTCCTACACTGTTCTACAAGGTGGCACTATTCACTTTCCTCATCTCACCTTAGTCACATGCTCCTCTTCCAAATCTTCATCATCATCATACAGCCTAAGAAAAGAGAAAGCTCAAACAGTTTCCTTTCAGCAGATCACTGACGGTTAGAATCAAATGATGCTCTACTACAAGAGAGAGAACTCAAGAGAGATGGTTATGTCATCTCAAGAAGAGCCTCAGATCTTACCTCAGGAGGTAGAAGAAAAATAGACTTTAAATATAGGGTAAGTGTGCACAATGAAGTCAAGTCTTGCTCTTTAGAAGAAAAATGTCTGTAGGGTTCTGTCTATAGCAATTTCAATAATTTTTTTTTTTTTTTTTCAAATCTGGGGCTCCTAAGCTCCCGGCATAAACTAATCAGTGCTATACTAATCTTTGGTGAATTTATTTATTTTTGTAAAGCCTTCCCTTTAGAGACAATTTACCACCCTCAAGCTATTGCATAAAGAAAAGCTTCAGGAAGATATTTAGCTTCCATAGAGTTCCTCAAAGGCAACAGCAGTTTAATGTTTGATAAACTACATATAAACGAAGTAGTGAAGTGTTTTGCAATTTTTAAGGCAGAAGGATCTGTCTGGATACTAATTAGTAAATTTGTATTTTAAATGTATTTGACTTTTCATGCTGAAGTATGGTTTCTGGCTTTCTGCATAAAGCAAATGTATGAGAGAAGCGTGCACAGGGTTCTCATGCTGAAGCTCAGTCTTTAGAAATGTGAACATCTCCCCCTCTAGAGCAGCAAAAGATGCTAGTGCTAATCTGCAGGACTGATAGCTTCCTCTGATGCTCTGAGTTCCACTTTGCTTTTCAAATGCAAGAAACTTAATCTCAAGACATTCACTCAGCATCCAGAGGCATTCTTTGGGAAACCGAGCATGGAGAAAGGCAGGACATTGCCACACATTTTAAGAAAGATGCACTTTGAGAAAACACTTCAGGTCACTGGTGGGTCTAACAAAAGCTTAAAAAAACAAAAGAAAACCCCACAAAATCAAATTCCCCCCAAAACACCAAACCAACCAATTAAACAAACAAACTCCCAGAGCAACCACAGCTTGAATAGGAAACTCCATATTTGCATAATCACAGGTGAAATCCCTTTAAGCAAGGCAAGCCAAAAACGATGCATAAAACGTTTCCTTGGCATGGAACCCGCTCAGTCCCTGTCCTTACCCAGATACCACTTTCTTTTCTTCGTCACTCTCATATTCGGCAAGAATCAGCTCCTCCTCGTTGTGATCCAGCTGCTCTAGAACATCCACCCCAGCTCCCTCTGAAATGATCTCCTTGCTGAGCTGAAGAAGGCGCTTTGTCTCATCCTCCTCAGATCTCTGAAAGGAACGCCCGGTCACGTTATTGCTTGTACAGAAAGCGAGGTAGCACGCGCATCGCTGTAGGCCACGGACGTCAGAAGACAGCACAGTCCCTCACGTGTAACACGGGGCATGGCCTGCAGGGTAAACCCCAGCAGGACAAGCAAACGCACCAAGGGTGTCTGAAGCTGTTCAGCCCCACAGAATGCAGCCGTTACCAACAACCAAAGACATGCCCACACAGACATATATGAAGGGGAAGCATAAAGAACCTTCCATGCAAAAAGCCCTCTGAACTAATAGATCCTGATGTGACAACATCCTCACAATCCAGTCATTAGTTGCTTAAAGTGGCCCACAGAAGATGCCTGCCTGCAAAAAAACAGTGTGTAAATAAACCCAAACAAGCCAACCTATAAGGTCATAATCAGTGTCCACACTGAACTCAAAGATAGGGTAAACTCTGCACCTGTTTTAGAACGCAGAGCACAAGACTTCTCTTGCTGTTTTTTTCTCCAGTTACGTGGTTCTAACACAGGTCTACCCCTCTATAAAAATTCCATGAAACTGTTGAAGAACAGTTTTCTGATTAACTTTGTGTTCTGATACAGAGTTAGTTTTTTCAATCTGAAAACTGCATCTTCCAACATCCAGTGGTTTTTTTACCATGGCATTATGAAGAAATGCTGTTAGTGAGCACTACAGAGGAGATGAAGCAGTTGCCTCCCCAAATCTCTGTAATATTTTTCTCATTTGCTTTCTTGCTTTTTATCATGATTCTCATTTCACGTGCTCCTCCATCCTCTTTTAAGAGACAAAAGTTCTTTGTTCCACTTGTTTTTTATTTGTCATTCACCTCTGAAGCTTTTCTATTTCTGCCATATACTTTTGACTGGAGCTGACCAAAACATAACACAGCACTTGAGATGGAGCGCACTAGAAACAAATAGCCTGGCAGCTTAATAAATCTCCCTGTTTGGGGACCTGAAGTGGGTATTTCTGGGAAGTTTGACTCATACTATGAAAAAGCTCTTAGAGTCAAGAGGCCAGTTCACCCACCTAAATGGCAGAAAAACGTATCTGTGAACTTCTGAGATGTAGAAAAGCGACATTTCTGAACCATACAATCATGTTTGCTATGAAAGTAAACAAATATAGTCATTCCTTAGTGGTGAGAAAAGTACAACCAAAGCTTGAAAAGCTTGACCTGGATTTTTTTTTTGGGGGGGGGGGGTGGGGGGGGGAGGGAAGGGGTCTGCATGTCTTCTGTTTCCATTATTTTAAATTTAATCACAGTGCTACAGGTTTTATTCCAGAAGTACAGTGTTCAGACATGCTCATAAAACAGAGCGCTTTCAAAAAAAAAAAAAATCCAAGTATTAAAGCTTTTAAAATGAAAGCAGGGAGACATCAGAACACATGCCCTTTCTATCCACACACAAACACCGTCACAGGAAATTCTCTACACACAAATTACTTTTCACACCTGTACTTTAAAAAGAAAATCTAACCAAAAATTTTGGATGGCCAAAGAGCTCCCCAAACAGACGGGCTGGAAAAGTCAGTATGAAGTTGCAGATATAAGCCAGTACGAACAACACTCGAGGTAGCCAAAACAGAAAGTTCTAATCTCTGCGGGATAACTCACCTTCCTCTTTGCTGCATACTTTAACTGCACATGATGGCGAATCTTCTCGAGACGATCTTCTCGCTTTTTCCTCCTGACCTGCTCTTCCTAAAATAAAGGGAGAGTGAAGGAAGGATGAGGTGTATACAGTCCTAAACCCTGGGTATAATTACTTTCGGGTGCCCTGGGTAGAGAAAAAAATTAACTCTGAAACAGAACGGTCAGTACACAGTCCCTTTCCCCTGGAGTGCACGCTTGTTGCACCTCACCGGGCTGAGCACGGTACCGCTTCCCGCCCCGCGCAACCCGCGACAGCGACGCCTCACCCCACGCAACCGAGTCCCGTGAAGGACGAAGGCCACCCCCGCGGTCTGCCTCGCGTGCTTTTCCAACCACCACCCGGGACACCCGCCTTTCCGACCCTCCCACACGCAGGAGCGTTTCCCCACCACCTTCAGCCTCTCCGCCGCGTCCCGCTCTTCTTTCCTCTGCACAAACGCCGTCACCCACTCGGGATCCCCGGCGGCTCCTCCGCTCGCCGGCTGCCGCGGCCCGCCGGGACCCGTCCCGCTCTCCCCGAGGGCCAGAAGTCGCGCCTCCTCCCGCTGCTTTTTCTCCTCCACGTCTCGGAGCCAGGAGAGGGCCCCGCAGATGAGGCTCAGGGATTTTCCCTGCCACGGGAAACACACACACACACGCCGAGGCTCCCGCGGCTGGAGCGCGGCGGCCACCGGCGCCCACGCAGCCGCGCCCCTCCGCACCCACGGCCCGCCCGGTGACAGAGCCAGGCCGCTTCCCCGACCCCCCCCCCCCCCACGCCGGGTTCCCTCCCGCCTCACCGTGCCCGTGGGGCTCTCGAAGATGCCGACCCGGCCGGCCTCCAGCGCGCTGTACAGCGCCGCCATGAACCGCTCCTGGATGAGGTAAGGCGTGTAGGGGAAGGGGAACCGCCCGCCCCCCGCCGCCGCCGCCGCTCCGCTCTCCATCCCTCACGCCGCCGCCCCGCTTCGAACCGAGCGCCGGGGACGCGCCGCCCCCTTCCCGTGACGCTCCCGTGATGGCGGGCGGGGAGCGGAAGGCCCGCGGCTCCACCGGGGCCGGCAGGCTCCGGGCGGCCGCGCTGGGCCGCGCCCTTTTCCCGCGGGCCGGGGGGCGAAGGCTCGGGCGGCCGCCGCCACAGCTGCTCCCCGGCCTGGTCGGGGGGTCCCTCCTGAAGCTCCTCGCCGCGGGGCTGAGCCCCCTCTGCAAGCTCACCCCCGTCATACGCAGGGACAGAAAACTGGGTTATACAGAGGAAAAAAAAACCAAACCAAAACAAAACAAAACAAAAAACCCCGCCACGTTTTATTTAGGATGGAAACACATAGCTAGTAATAAAACATAGCAATATAGAGGAGGTTTATGTAATACACAATCATTAGCGTGGTAATAAATGCAAATATAGCAATTCCTAACTGTTAACGCTGGACTTTGTATGTTAATACTTTACAAACAATAGTGGGCTAAAGAAGAGTACTCTGCTACAAAACTGCAAACCGTCTCCAGACAACCAGGAGGAACTCATCGTGTACCAGTTCAGACTAAGACATCTGGGGTGGGGAAACACATTTTTTGGTTAAATAAGGTAAGGCCACGTTTTTGCCCATGTTTTTTTTTTTTTTGATGTCCCAGGTTGGAAGGTGTTTCAAACCAGCAAGGACAAATTTGGGAGAAGGTGCCCCAGACTAGTAACGGGCAGTGTTCCAACTGGAAATGCTTGAGCATCCCTGTTTTCTGGGAAGAGCCATGACAGCTTTGCATAACGCAGCTACCCTGTCACTCAGGCTTTGTGTGTAGAGGTAGGAATTCATCGTCCCATGTAAGATTTGGGAAAAAAGAAGGAAAGACACATAGATTGAAGTTCATCTCCAAAGTCTTAGACTCAATAGATTCAGAAGCACCTTGTCAAACACTGGGTAAACTTACTACATTGATGAAAAATAAGGGAAGGTAATGAAAAGAGAGTTCCTAAGACTACTACAGTGTCTTAACAAGCCAAAGTTTTGAGTCAGAACCAACCTGGAAGTTTTGACCTTCGCTTTAGCTGTAAAGTTACTTTACAAGCTTGATTCTCCCAGTTGTTATTCTACCACATAGTCCCAGACCCCAACTTACCCAGAAGCTGGTGCCCGTTCCCTAGGCTCTCAGCACCCTTCCTAAACCACCAGTGCTCGGCTCTTAGGACTAACTCCCTGCTTCCAGACCTCCTAAAGGTTCTTTGTGTCGCTGGGGTTAAACACCCAGCCCTGACACCCGAGTTACCGCGTCTCTAGTCAGTCTTTTCCCACCGTGGTCATCATCACCCACCTTTTACAGGTACCCCCAAACATTGCTTTTGCTTCCTGCTCCAAACATCCGCTCCAGCCCTATGGCAGAAGTGAGCGGGAAGTGAGTGTCCTCGTACCCACCGTGCATTTATAAGGTTTCTTGGCCGCGTGGATTTTCAAATGCACTTTAAGCGTCGAGTTTTTCCGGAAGCTCTTCCCACACTCGCCGCACTCGTAGGGCTTGGCTCCTGCGTGGATCCTCAGGTGGGCACCGAGGGCTGAGCTGTGCCTGAACGTTTTTCCGCACTCCTCACACTTGTAGGGTCTCTCCCCGCGGTGGATCCTCAGGTGCACGTTGAGAGCCGAGCTCCGCCGAAAGCTGTCCCCGCACTCCACGCAGATGTAGGGCCGTTCCTCGGCGTGCGTGGTCTGGTGCTTGGCCAGGGTGGAGCGGTCGCTGCACCTCCGGCCGCACTCGGCGCACTGGTAGGGGTTGGGCAGGAGGCCGCCGTGGTACATGGGCAAGGCCTTCCCCCCGTGGATCCGGCGATGGGTGGTGAGCGCCGAGCTCTGGCTAAAGCCCTTCCCGCACACGGGGCACTTGTAGGGCTTCTCACCCGTGTGCGTTCGCATGTGGGTCACCAGCGAGGAGCTCTGCCGGAAGGTTTTCCCGCACTCGGTGCACTCGTACGGTTTCTCTCCCGTGTGGATTCTCTGATGCCGAATGATGGCCGAGCTGTCCCGGAAACGCTTCCCGCACTCCTGGCACTTGTGAGGCTTCTCTCCAGTGTGGACTCTCCGGTGTATGATCAGGGAGGAGCGGTCGCTGAAGCTTTTCTCACACCGGGGGCAATTAAAGGGTTTCTCACCCTTGTGGCTTCGCTGGTGGACGATGAGATGCGAGTTCTGGCTGAAGCTCTTCCCGCATTCGTTGCACCGGTAGTGTCTCTCTCCCGTGTGGGTCCGCTGGTGCCTGATCACGTTGGACCTCTGGCTGAAGGTCTTCTTGCACTCGTTGCACTGGTAGGGCTTCTCACCGGTGTGGATCCGCTGGTGTTTGATCAGGTCCGAATTGCGGGTGAAACTCTTCCCACATTCGGAGCACCTGAAGGGTTTCTCTGCCAGGTGGATCCTTTGGTGCTGGCTCAGGTACGAGCTCCGGCTGAAGCTCTTCCCACACTCGGGACACTCGTAGGTTTTCTCTCCCACCTGCTGAATCCAAATGGCGCCATTCCCACACATGGGTGGATCTGGCTTGTCCCCAGCAAGGACAACCTTGCTGATGTGGGCTCTACCACTGTCCTCGCACTCCCAGACTTCCATCCCACAAGGAGTTACCATTCCCCACCTCTTCCCAAAAGATGTCTCCACCTCGCTTTCTGTCTCCAGCTCCTTCTTGTGGTCCTGTCTTTGATCGGCATCCTGGAGGGTATCTCTTGTGAGCTTTCTGGAGGAGAACAGATGCAGTTCAGCTCTCACAGGACTTTCCTGGTGAAGCTTGCCCTTCTGTGTGTCGCCCATGGTCCTGTCACCTGCTGGAGTGAACAGAGGAACTAGCAATGAATAACCCTCCCTGCTTCTCTGAGGGAGAAGTCCAAACAGGGCAGCTGCAGAGACCTGCTGCATGTCAGCCCCCGTTAGCTAACAGCGCAGGAGCCAGCCCCTCGGTATGTTCTCTGGGCAGAGTGAGGGCGCAGAGACCGGGGAGCACGGGAAGGGAGTGTGACCCGAGGATGAGCGGCCACAGTGGCACAGATAGCAAAGCGGGTCCTCCGTCATAAAGTTACAGCCCTGAAGGACAAAACCTGTCACTTGCTTGTCCTCAGAGTTCCCACGTCTAGCGAGGTTAGAGGAACATCATCACTGCTCTCCTCAACAGCCCTCACTGCAGCTGCTGCTCTTCCTGTTGCCTATGAATCACTGCTCTTCTTCCAGCACTCCCATGCTTAATCAAGGAAGAAAGCAGCCAACACCACAGGAACATCCAGCCCTGCCAAGCAGACTGTTTTCTTTCTTCTTTCCAGTCATAGCCCTTTTCTTCAAAAAGGAAGCCCTACTTATTCTGCAGCAAATTGTATCTAGATTTTGTCTACAGAACAGATAGGCAACTGAGTGGAAAGATAAGCTTTTTTATTAATCAAGCATGGAAATGAACACTTAGACTGAAACATTTAGAGGCTCCTGATTTTTTATTAGTTATACTCCTATGGGGAACACACCTTGGAAATGGATGCTGCAGCATGAGGTAAGCTGATCAGCTGGATGGCACTGCTTGCACAGTTGACATCATCCTCTACGTGTGGGAGGTCAGAATAAGAGGTGAATGCAGCAGGATAAACCCCTCGGGTTTTGTTTCTGGTGATCTGCACGTTTTGGAAGACACCACTGCACAGGTTATACCGATCCCCAAAGTTTTGTTTACGACACTCAGGGCTGAAAAACATTTGTAGTACAAATAAAAGTATAACACTGGCCCAAGGCATGCACCTCAAGGCAACGAACTGACGAATAGAACATTAAAATATTGTTAGCATGAAAGGAAGAAAAAACCACACTTTGGTTAGTTATGCCTTCTAACATTCTGAGTATATTCTTCACTGAAGAATACACAGGATATTATTTCATTTTGGATAGGGTCTTTTTGAACGGGTATTAGATACCCCAGGAGTGTGTTTCATCTATAAAGTACAGGAGCAGAAGAGGCAAGATGAGTGCAAGAGCGTGCAGCACAAGACATGCCAAATTTTCAGCATTCAGCTCTCGTCTTCCCTTCCCAGACATGCTCTATTCACTTTCTCACCTTGTGATCAATCTCTCTACTGTCTCGGTGTTTAGCTGCTTCTGGCCACAAAGCTCTTTCTCTTCACTCCATCCAGGAGGTTCAAGCCAAGTCAGGATTGCAGATACTGATCAGAGGAAAAAAAATAGATGTAATAAATACCCATCATAGTAGTGGTGCTGTAGAGTGAGATTACAGGAGGGTAAGTATTTAGGAGATGAAAGCAACCTAGACCAGAGGAAAATGACACCCAGAAACATGAGTCAGGGTCACTGTCTGTTCTGCCACGCACACTGTGACACTGCTGTTCAGGTCCAGTAACCGTGGCCAGCTCACGTAGCGAACATGGGTTCGGCTACACTTGCTGCAGAGAACTGCCTGCCAGCTTGCTGCCTTCTCACAAGCGTCTGGATGTTCCTCCTGCTGCACTTCCAGACCAAAAATGCCTCTTACTGAGTTTTGTATAAGAAAAATACCGACTCCTCAAACCATTTTCTCTCCATCATCTTTCTTCCCAGTGAACTAAATGAGAACATAATGTAGTTAATGCAGTTCTGTTCTGCAGGCAGAGGAAAAATGCCACCTTCACAACTGGGCTGCTTTCCGTGTCTGTCCGGTGTCCTGTTTATTGCCTTAACTGAAGGGGTATTTCGCTTGGTTGCTCTCAGTAGCTCAGCCAGGCACACACCGGTCTGGGTGAGAGAAGGGATTTTGGTCTGCTCACACATTATCAACAGGAGCAGTCCAAACGCAGAATTTCCTGTCCGGTGCTACAGAAAAAAATGGCAATTCAGCTGACTGGTTCCAGATGGATTTTACAGGGCTGGCAGTGAGCAGAAAAACAGTCACACATACCTGTTTACGCAGGAACACCGAGATGATTTAGTCCGCCAACACGCAATCCCACTTTTCAAGGATCTCTTTTCAGAGCAGAAGTACGCTGAGCAGGAGTGGGGTTTGTGGGATAGAAAATTAGGTCACCCATTTAGCTTTAGCACTACATTTGTGCAGTGGTAATTGTACAGAGGCATTTTAAGATGCTGAGAGCTCAGTGACATCCTAAAAATGTACAGTTTGCAGAAAAAAAAAGTTTAAAAACTGCATATATGAATGCCAGCTCTGCAATGGTGTTGCACCATTTTGGTCACGTGGATTCCCACTGTGCCACCTGGAACAAGTGTAAAATTACTCATGACTGGGTGTTTGTAAGAAAAAATAATGTAAACCAGCATGTTTTCCTTTCAAAATCAGAAACATACTGAACTGGCTGCTCCGTGGTGTACCAGAGGAGAATATTGTGATAGTTGCCAGACCCTCCCGAGGACTGAGGGAAGACTTCCCCACCTACATAACGCCATCAGGAAAAAAGAAAGCCCCTGATAAAATGGAGAGCTGACATTTTGGTGGCTCTGCCTCAGCCTGGAGTCACATCATTCCTTCTCCACGTCGCCTTCTCCACAGTGGATTCGATGGGGATCACCCCTTGGGGAGAGGGTGTTTCCACTCCTCCCAGCAGCAGGCAGCGGCTCCAGGCTTTGATCCCAATAAGAGGCAAGGAAGCTGAGGTCTCCCTCCTCATATAACCCCCATCCACCTACGAGGCAGTGCCACTCTGTGAGTAAGCCTGACCCTGCTGAACCATCATCCTGATTCTAGGAGGAAAGAAACATCCTTCTGGTTCAGTCCCTTCCTGCTGTCATTCAACAGCTGCTGCGAACACACGGTCAACACGCACCCTAAAACGGTGGGTGAGCACCTAGGGAAGGCAGAAAGCAGATTCAGGAAGACAGCTGATGCTGGGCAGAGCTAGGCAGGTTGTGGGGTATGGCAGAAAAGCAAGTTGTGTGATGGGTAGTAAAGATCTGTCCCTCAACAAGATGGGAGATCTGAAACGCCACCGAGCACCAGACAGGGGACAAGGCGCCGGTCTCCAGAGCAACCATGTTTGGACAAAGCCGAGTCCCCAAGCGGAGTCCTGGCTGATGAGGTAACCTGGTCCTTACGAGGCCGAGTAAGGAACGAGAGAGGTGATCTGCAGAGTGGGAAGGCAATGGGCTGCACCGAGCTCCTGTGAGGACAGAGAGCGGCTCCAAAGGGGCTGCCCCACGAAGGACATGGCTGGCCAGGAGCGGGTGAGCCACCACTCGGAACATGAGTCTCGGGGAGACGGGAGAGGCACGGAGAACAGAATGCTACCATGGGTGTGAACCCAGAGAAACCAAACAACTTCTGTGAGGACTTTTCGTACCCAGTGGCACAGCGAGGAGGAGGGCAGACCCCGCTGCCGCAGGAGGTGGCCTGTGTCCCAACTCAGCCTCAGGCAGGCGGCCGCCGCTGCCTCCCCCCACACAAACCCAGCGCCAGGCAGCGTGCGGGCCCGGCGGCCAGGCGGGAGGGGAGGCAGGGGGGAGGCGTGGGCAGGAGGAAGCGGGGACGGCGATGGAAGGAACGGTAGGAACAGAGGCGTCTGTGACACCACCAGCCACGTCGCCTCCCCAGCTCTCCTGGGTGAAGCCGGAGGGACAGGAGGAGGACGCAGGCAGCGGGCAAAGCAGCGGAGGTGACGCCTCCAGCAGCACAGGGGCCCCCCCGGCTGGTACAGGCACCACTCATGGCATGATGTCGGCCACGTGGGCTTGTCTGGTTTTGTCTGGTGAGTAGTAAGTCAAGTTGCAAGAAAGGGCGGGCGACCCAGCTGCTCTTCACCTCTCCCCATCACTCCTCAGTTTGGCAATTTGGGAGGTGAGAGAAAGAGACAGGAGCACCCTCGAATACCTCAGGGGCAAAGACTTCACGTGCTTAACATTTTGCCAGTCTTCACCCACTGGAGTTGGTGTTTTATTCATCAAGGAGGGCCAGAGTGACCTAGGAGCCAGGGAGGAGGACTTGGAGCTGGCAGCAGGCAGAGGCAGGAGCAGAGGAGGAGACTGGAGGTGCGGTGATGGGGACAGCTGGGCGTGTAAACCACACACAAGCACAAAGGCAGAGATGTGGAGGGAAGAGCTGGCCAGGGGAAGTGACAGTGGGGACAGGAGAAAGAGGCCCGAGAAAGAACCTTGGTAAAGACAAACAGAAGGGGATATAGCTGGAAGAAATGGATAGAAAGGCCAGGGTGCTTTGGACACATCCTAGCAGGAGACCATGGAGGGGTCCTGTATCCCTCAGTCTCCTAGTTCGCCTGCTTTCTGCAAACCCCTCCACAGTCACCTGGCAAAGTGTGATGCTTTCCTCTCCTACTGCCTCACCAAGTGCTCGATAATCCCCGCTGTCCTCTCAGGGGGAAACACTAAATGTTTTTATTTGATACTGCTGCACCTACAGACACATAAGCATTAATAAGATGGCATAGATGTTAGTAAGATGTAGGCCATGAGGAAGTTTTTAAGCTTTTACCAAAAAAAAAAAAAAAAAAAGTCATCACAGGTTAAGAGACTATGACAGAGATTGCAAAGTCAAACTTGGAGCTTGCTTGAATCACAGTCATTTTGCAACCCTAGATTTGCTTCCCCTGTACATGGATGTAGTAACCCAGCTCTTTAATCACCTGCCTTCACTGTTTTCACATGGGTTTTGGCTTCTTTAGTACCTGGATGGACACTGCTTTTCTAATGAGCAGCTATTCAGTATGTTATGTCACCCTTATTTTTTAGTGTTTGACTCATTTATTTACTGATCCCATTTGAACTCTGATATAGACAGAATGACTCATTTGTTCAGGAACTTTTTACATACTCTATGTTTTACAGCTTCACAGCTATTAACTGGTTTATAGTGATTTTGCAAACAGCAAAATGAGGGCAGAGAGGGATTAAAGTAAAAAAAACTCCACTACTTTTAGAATCTCAGTTTGAGATATCTCAGCCCTGTCTTCTCAGAGTACATATGCTAATGTAGAACTTATTTGCCATTCAAAATCCACCACATGCAGACTCCAAAACGGCAAGAGAGCTCAGTCTTCCTATAAATGCCAACCCACAAGGTAAGGAAAATGCCATTAATAACACACTAAGAAACCCAGTACTTGCCTAGCATCGCACAGGAGACTCTGGTGCAGCCAGGAATAAAACCTACTTCTTGGAGAGTATCCACAAAACTACCCTTGCCCTTCCAGCATCTTCCTGACTCATTCTTCCATACACCTTCCAAGGCTGTGGGAAATGAAGCAGATGTCCTGAATATAGTAAGTGCCTAACCTGGGAAACCGATTCCCTGTCAGAGCAGGTCCAGTCTCTACACTGAATGAGCTGCCAAGTTTTTAGAAGAGTAGGTTGCTGTGTACTTAAATAATGTATAAAAAGCATATGCAAGAGGAGATGAAATTAAGATTGTACATGAAGCTTTTATTTGGGCACATCTAACCTCCAAAGGTTTGATTTCACAGGCTTTCGTAATGTTCTTTACAGTGAAGAACTGGCTTTAAGTTTTCCATAAGGGTTCAGTGAACGCTTGGACCATTGTAAAGGCATACACGTGTCCACTGGGGCATGCTCCATTAACTTAAGGGGTCTAGACTCACTAACCCAGAGGAGGAGAATTTGCAGAGGCTAAAATCTTGAAAGGAAACAGTCTCCTTCCTCCAGCCCCAACAGCAGAGCTACATTCCCACTTTCAGCCATGACTTCCAAGATGTTTCTGCCAGTTCAAGATTTGAACCTCCAGAGCTTTGGCAAAGGTCCCTCAGCCATGTACTGTCCCAGAATACTACGGTCCTTTCAACATGGGCAGAGCAGGTTTTCCCCAGATCTAGACCTCCCCTTCTTAAGCCCGTTACCGCACTTCCCATATGCTGTACCTTGCATGCAGAGAAGGCAACAGAGATCTGCGTTCAGCCCTGCAGCTCTTCTGAGCATGCCATGGTTAGCATTTCCTTCTCCCTCTGACTCCCTGCATTTTATTTTTCACCAGTGCTCTTTGGTTGCAGCTGCAAAGCCGACCCCCGGGGTGTGAAGGCGCAGCAGCTCGGAACACCACTCTCCAACCAGGAGTACCGCCAGTTCTTCAGGTCCCTCCGGGCCGCCCGCCGTGCCAGCACTGCCTGCCTCCTCCGTGCACTGTACGGCTGCCAGAATCCCCTGGTCCAGATGCTGGACAAGTACGAAAACCATGGAGTCATCCCTGAGGGTAAAGCTGACCGTGACTCCCAAGCACAGACAGATGGATGGGGGTCCTGCATGCTGGACCTGATTGCTGGGAGGGGACAGAGACTCATGAGCTGGTGGGGGAGAGGGGTGGGTAGTGATCCTGCAGTGAGGAGGAGAGCTCGTGAGCATCCTCTCTCACACTCGATTGCATCCAAATGTGTCCCTGGGACCAGCCTCCTCTCACACCTTGGGTCATGGAGATAACCAAGTTTTTCATCAAGGTTCAGGGAGCCGCCCAAATGACACAAGGGTTTTCATGGAGAGATATCCTTAGACAGTGAGGTTATTGTGAGGGCTGGTGGGACCCCAGCACTGGAGTTGATCACTGAGTCTCTGTCTTTATTTGACTGTTTTTAGGACCCATATGCTCTGAACTGCCAGGAACTCATTTCTTCCCCGACTTCTGTGCCTTTTCCTTTTATCGCTGTACTATCAAAAAGTATTTCATTAAGGTGAGTTATTTAGCTGCTTCCTGAAGACCATGGTGTGCTCTGGGCAATGACCGGGCAAAAGGGAGAGCCTTGAAAATGAGGAAGTGGGAAAATAGGAAGCTAAAAGATAGGGAAGATAGGAAAGAGCCCACCTTCCAGGGACACTCACACCAAGCTGACAAGCTTACACAGATGGCACCTGCAGCCACTTGCCAAAAAGAAGACTTTGTGGAAAGTATTCTTGAAGAAAATGAACCTCTGAGGACCACCTCAGCCTTTATCTCCAGCTCTCATTCCCAACCAAGCTGAGACAATCTAGGTTACTGCAGAAGAAAGGGTGATTCCTGCAGGCTAGAAGAGAAGGAAAGACAACTGGGAGTCACAAGGAGAGACTTATGAGGAGACTTGACAAGGAGAGAAGTAGGTTTCTTTCCTTTCCCAGGCTCATCTTTGTAGGGAGTGGGATAGATGGGGCTGTGCAGTGAGTGCTAACCCCACAGAACAGGGATGTGACTAGGTGACTGCTCTTGAAGCCCACCGCCTCTACAGAGGTGCGTTTTCTCCTCCACAGAGGGCTGCATGCCCAGGAGAGACCAAAGCTGATCTGGGACGGACACACGCCTTCATCAACATGACCATGAGCAGTGATGCCATGTCGTCCGGCATCTTCGGTCCCCAGCTCCTTTTTCCCACATCTCCCACAACTGCCCAGCCAGCCCACTCCATCCCTGACACAGAAGTAGCAGTGATCCCCACCTCCTTACCCGAGTTGAGGAACATGCAACTAAATCCTTCTGACCCACACGCCACGCAGGTGACAGGAGGTGGCCAGCAGCGGGGACAGCTGCCCACCAGTGACATTCAGGATCTCCTCCTGAGGCTACAAGATACCCAAGTGCAGAGTTCGCTGCAGACATTTCAGTGGTTGTTGACCACGGGGAAGGCACTAGGAGAGGAAGAGTTGCAGACTGCCGCCCTGGAGCTGCTGGTGGCCCTGAACAATGCAAGTGTGTCTGAGTGGGCAACCAGCACTGATACGGGGCACAGAAGAGAGAAGTGAGCAGCAAAGGAGGATCAGCCATTGTGGCTTTTCTACGTGGTGTCCAGTCAGATATGCTGTCTCAGAGCAGACATATGGGAAGATGAAAAAAGGAGAAGGAGTCCTCCTTCCTAGGCCGGGGACATTGTCATGGTCAACACTTTCCCAGGCCAACAGAGTGAGAAACAAGGGGAAAAGCCACCTTTTCAAAGTGCATGGGAAAACCCAGGCATGTGAAATGCTATTGGTCAGGATTCAAAGAGAAAGATGTTATCCTCTTGGAAACAACTGTGTTGAAGAGATACTGTCCTTTCTCACTAAGCTGTTCACTCGCTATTGTTCAGTTTGGGAGATGGTTATTCTTAAACACGGCAAGATGGAAAAATAATTATTTTTTCCTGCTCGTGGTTGTGCCACCATGACTATCTCTCTGTCCTAAGCAGAGAGATGGGGTTTGTTGTGTCATTCAATGAGTGGCATGGGAGAACACTGGCCTTTCTTCATCAAATACAGGTGTTTCTGCTCAGAAGCATTAAGGGAACAGTATTCTTTAGAAGTATGTGTGTGAATATACATACATATATACACAAGGGATGCTCTCTGGATGCAGGAAGGCCTTACTCTGCAAGGGAACTGCTGGCCTAGCGTTCTCCTTGTATTGGTGTTTGCACATGGTTGTCATCTACTTCTGAAATGATGCTGTGAAACACACAGGATAAATATTCATGTTAAGAACCTCCTCTTGTCTCTCTCAGAAAATCAGAGTTTGATTTATGGGAGCTTTGGCTGAAGTGCTGCTCCTTTTACAAACACTGGACACACCTGTAAGTAAAACCACGTGAAGCCATCTGGAGGCAGCACCTGCTGCTAGAAGCAGAGTGGGAATTCTTCGGGCACCAGCTCCATTTTTCAGAATCTCCACTCGGAATGAGTCTAGAGCTGCCTCAAACCTCCTCTTAAACTCCAATGGTTGGTTTCAGCTTTCAGGAGACCACCATAAAAGTGAGAGTCTCCTATTCACCTTTCCTCCCGCCGACCGCCCTGTAATCTATTCCACCGAGGGCTATGAGGCGAAAAGGGACAAAGGCAGCTCTCCGCACGGATGCACCACACCAAGCACATCCCTGTGGAGAGGGTCAGGGGTACCCGCTCCCTTTACACTGCCGGCGTGACACAGACACAGCTGAGTGAAAGAGAGGGCTCCGTCCTTATCCACTGAAGGAAGTCCGTCCTTAGAGCTCCTTAGAAGAAGCTCTCAAAATTCCAGGTCCTCCCTTTGTCCTGAGAAGCATAACCTTTCCCAAGGCTGAAGGCAGCTCACCCACGGGAAACCCGAGAGCGCTTGCTTGCTTGCTTCCACAGAGGGCTGCCCAGCGCGCAGTCCTTCCCGGCTGGGATCCTAACAAAACGCAGCGCTGCCCGGGCCTCGCCAACTCCCGCGCTCCTCCCCAGAGAGAGCCCAAAAATCTGCCGGCTCCCCGCCCGAGGCGCCGGAGCTCCGTGTCCCCTGCAGCAGCTGCCTGGCAGCCACAGCTCCCCCAGCCCGGGGCACCAGCCCCGGCTCCCCACCACCGCCCGCGGCTCCCGGCTGGCCGCCCACGCGTGGGTCGGCCAGACGCGGCCTCAGCGAGCCAAACGCTACAATCTTTCCTCCTCGGGTGGCTCCGGCCAGGCCCTCTACGATGCAACGGACCCGGGGGGGCCCACCCTTCGGCCGACCCCCCCGCCCGCTCCCGCGGGCTGCGCGCCGCCTCCCGCCACCTGCCCCGGCTTCCCCCGACCACGTCCACGTTCCCTTCCCACCGCGGGGGCCGCTCCCGGCCCGTTACTTTTCGGGGCTCCGTTCTCCCGGCCTCACTCCGCCCACGGCGCCGCCCCGCTTTATTGTTGCGGCGGGCGCGGGGGAGCCGCGCTTCCCACACACACACCCCCCCCCCCCCCCCAGGACTTACCGGCGCTGGGGCCATGTGCGCGGCCGCGGGCCGAGGCCGCGGAGAGCCGGGGCGGGGGGGGCGGCGGCGGCGGCGGCGGGGCCGGGCGGCGGCGCTGCGGGGCCGCGGTGCGCTCCGCTCCGCTCCGCTCCGCTCGGCTCGGCTCGCTGGTGTTAACCCCTTCCCTGCGCCGGGCGCGGCCCCGCCGGGGCTGGGGAGGAGGGGGAGGGACGGGGGTTGGGGGGGGGGGGGGGGACGGGGGTTGGGGGGGGTGTCTCCGGGACGGGAGTTGCCGCTCGCCGCCATGCGAGAGGGCGGGGACCCGTCCCCGGGGGCTGCGGGGGCCCGGCCGGGTCAGCGAGGCCGCCGTCACCCGTGGGGAGCGGGGGGGTCCTTCCCTGGCCGCGCCCGCAAAAGCGGTGTGTGTGTGTGTGTGTGTGTGTGTGTGTGTGTGTGGCTGGACGCGGGTGAAAGAGGAGTCGCGGCGCCGGTTTGGGTCGTGTTAGGTACGAGGGAGAACTCTTCCCGAGGTCAGCTCCCGCGCTGGAAGAGCTGGGGTCGCATCCTGTACCTCTCTAGATGTCCGGTAGGCAACAAGACACAAGCCCCGGGGAGCCACGCTCCCTGAGTTTTCAGGGCTCCTCGCCCGTGTTTCCCACCACTGGCTTACGTTTCACCGTCCCGGCAGGTAGGGAAGCACCAGTGCTAAAACCAAAGCCCAGAGCTGCTTCCCGTCACAAATTTATGGTAACGGGATGGTGTTTTTTTCCTTGGGGACGCTTTCCTTCAGGTGAATGGAGGCTTCACTCTGCTGCTGGTCACCGCAGCATCTTGTGCAGTTTGGGCGCAGCATAACGCATCCCAGGGCGCACACACATGCAGCTTGTGGCACGGGAAAGGATCCACCCACCCCAGGCAAAATTAACCTGTTGCTGTACATGCTGCAAGTGCTGCTGATGCACAGGCGTTTTGCCAGGTGTTCTTTCCCCCAGGGAATGCAGGAAAGGCTGTTTGCTTTGCGTGAGATACAGCAGTAAGTAAGGGGCTGAGGTTTGTGGCAACGAGTTTCTAGCAATGACTGAAATGTTTTCTGTGGGCTTTTGAGAAGAATGGTGGGAAAGTGTTTCCCAAGCCCTCAATTTTTCAGAGGGCAACTGACTTCTCAGTGGCCTGTGGATGGTTCACCGACTCCTGCAGAAGTCTCCTGATCTTGAGAGGTGATAGAAAAGCACTAATCACACAAGCAGAGAACATGGACGTGCCCTGGAGGTGATTTCAAGAAAATTAACTTTATAATTCAGGAACTTGGTAAATACTGAGCCATTTCCTTCTTTCTAATTGCCCTCAGCAACATGAGGATCTTGCCTCCACCTAAACAAGAGCCCAACTGTCTTCCCTTCCTATCCACAGAGAGCAACTTTTCTGAAGGCAGAGAGAGCAGGGTTGTTCCTAAATACAAAGTCTGGCCTGAGCAATGTGATTGCTGACTCCAAAGGTATTAGACAGAGACAGAGCTTGAGCAAATCTAGACTTTGTAGCGTTCCCTATGCAGAGGGAAGGACTTTGCACAGGTCGCACATTCTTTCTTATGAGCACTGCTCCAGCTCCCTCCACCTTTCTTTTGAAGAAGACACTCCCCCCTGTAGGACAGGCAAGTAAAATTAGCACCACTGGTGGGGAAAACCAAACCAGTTGTGCAAAAAGTCCGGCTGCCAGAGAACAGGTCCAAATAGTGAGAGGTAAAGGAGGGAAGGGGAGGCATTTCTGATGGGCAAGCAGAGCGAGGTCCCCTCTGCCTTTTATTGTAGAGTGCTGCAAAAGGGCATGTGCAGCACAGCTCTGATAACGACTCGAAGGGACATGGGAAAAATCTGTTTCAACAACAGCTCGTATCACAAGCAAATTATGAAGGAGCTCAATTACCACTTACTACTTTGTGCTAATCGGTATTCCATGGTTAGAGCGTTGGTATTACGAGCTTGCCATGTGATTTATGAGCCCAAGCCTAGTTATCAACTATGGCCTCTGCTGCAATTTTCTACTCTGTCTACATTTTTGTCTTTCACTGACATGTCGTTTTCTGCCTCCTGAGAGCATACTTCAGTGAGTATCCTGTACCTCACTGACTTGCATCTCAAGTAGAACTGTCAGCTGAATTTTTCAAATACCAGGGCTTAGCTAAATGTCCTTGACTAATTTAAACACCACTCAGAAAACCTCTGTTTTGAAACTCAAAATAAGGACCTGATCATCCTACCCCTTACTGTTCACCTCTTGCCCCAGTGTGCCCTGCAAACCTGGTTTCCTACTGAATCAGTTGCACCATTTTTTTGGGCAGCTGTATCTTCAGCAGCCCAGCATAGCAGCTCCCTCCCACAGACATTATCCATACAACATGAACGACACTGCAGGCATACACGAAAGCAGAAATTGTGAAAATACGACTCATCCTGCTCACTTGCCCAGTGAAACCCCACCTCTTACCCCACAGGTGCTGCTGTCTAGAAATGAATGTTAAGACCCACCGAACTCACTCCATAACAAAGAAACTTTGCCACCTGTTTGGGCAGAGGATGCTCCCACATCTTTTCAACACAATTTCTGACAGGAGTCCCACGGGGGCCACATCACTGCAGGTCCCACCGGAGTGCAGCCCAGCAAAGCAGGTTTCATGACATCTTTATAAATCTGCTGTTCCATCCCCTGCGCAGGTAACAGCTGGTTGCACCAGGCAGAGATTTTCTTCACTGGGGATTCAAGAGCAGCTACCATTACACTTTCTCCACGTGCCATTTATGGAACATTAAGCTTCTGTAGAGGGTTAAATATCTCTGCTTTCTCTAACTCTGCACTGTGAGACACCTGTGGCCAAAAAAAGTAGAATTCACCATCAGCCAACAGAAAATGGCTTTTCTGAGCCACATTACCTCTCATTCCCACTACCTTTATCAAGTCGTACAATATTTTACCTGAAACTGAGAGCCAGGGCTATTATTTCCAGATAAAAGTGTATCACACATCAACCTTCACTGATTTTCTGTCTGCCTGAAGGTTAATAGCAACAGCCACTGTATTACACTATATAGTAATGAAAAAAAAACAAACCAGAACTATTACACATTCCAATTTAAATGTAAAGGAAACTGGAATCAATGAAAAAGGTTAAAAAGCATTGCTTTCCTTCTTTGTGACTGTACGAAAATGTCCAGATCAGCTTCCTCAGATTGTATTTCAGAGTCTTGCCATAGAGGTCCTCACTCTCATTTTCCTTTTTAACATAAGCAGTAATAGGGTCACTATTTTCTAGTTTCCTTGATGGTTATGATCTTTGTCAGTCTTACACATCTTAAGAGCATATTCCTTCAGTTAAAGACTCAAGTTCTTTAAAAAAATCTTCTTTGTTAATTAAAGGTGAAAAAGCCCAGCCCACTATATATTAGAAAGTAATACCTTAAATAGCTCTGAAAACTCAAACGTGAAACCAGAATCAACAATTCCCAGTCCAGTGAGTCCAATTTAATTTTCTTTTTTTTTGCCAATATTCTGAAACAACTGTGTAAGTTTTTCAAAGCAGACTAAAGTTGAGTCAATTATTCCAGCTCCCTCTGAAGTGAACAGTTTTGTGGCTAAAGTTGGCTACAGTTGGCTGGAAATCTTAATTACTTGTTTGCTCATTAGGCACAGGCTTTCAAAGCAAACAAAATCTGACTTTGTAATTACAGGTATGTTACTTGAGAGATTTTCAGAAAACCAAGAGATATGTGGAAGAAGCAACAAGAAACTGGTTTCTTTGCAGGTAACTTTCAAAGAAAACAAAGCATTAAAACATTCTGAAATACAAAGTTGAAAGTCTCCCAAAGGCCTTACTCTGCTCCCAGAGCAATGCTTTGAGGACTGGGAGAAAGTCAGGTTTATTTTTCCGCAACCTTAAAATAAACAAGCTTGTTTTTCCTAACTTCCATTTGTGTAGCTGAGGAGTCTCATTACTTTCACAAGTAACATGAAAGTAAGTCTCTGACTTGTACATAAGGCATTCATATTCTGCTGCCTGGTGACCACAAATCCCTGACTGTACAGGTGTCAACAGCCAACTAGGCAGCGGTTCCTCCTCACAAACACCTACATGCATGGTTCTGAAGTCATACAAGTGGGAGAAAATGGTACTGAAAGGCATCTGGTCAACACGACAGCAGTATACCCAAAGATCTGTGATTTATAAGCGTGTGTAACTGTAACTTGAAAAAAATTTTTTTTTGTCTTCTTTAATTTTAAGGTAAGGATGAAAAGGTATGAAGCCAAGTTGAAAACTCAAAGGTCCACCTAGTCAAGCACGTTGTGTCCAGCAAGAGGTCAGTAAGCTGTTTGTAGGAGGAATATGAAACACAGCGGTACATGCTGTAAGGTTCCTAAAGGTGTTGCAAAAGAACATTAAGTGCAGGAGGTCAGCAGGGAAGAGGGAAAAAAAAAAATAAATATTTTGGAGTATTCACAACTGTGAGGTGCAGCTGTCCTTAAAAAGCTTACAAACAACTTTTCAGGCAGGGCAGAGTTTCTGAGGCCCCGCATGGAGGTGCAATGGATGCCTTCAGCGTTGCAACACAACCACCCCAAAGCTGAGGAAGAGAAGACACAGGGTGGAAGGGGGAGTTGAACGCTCCGCTGGAGTTTCACATCTAACGTGGCAAAAACTCCATTTATCCCCATTTTGCTCCAGTACAACACAGTGCCCACGGAGTTTATCTCTCAGCACTAGCAAACAAAGGTACCCTTTGAATGTATTTCCTTGAAATAGTCTGATACAAATGGACATAGTTTCTTTTCTCTGATGAGGTTCTCCAAAGTGAAATAAGATCAGAGATGCTGCTGAAGTCTCACCAGGTTCAATACACACTTGGCATTCAATTTTCCAGCAATGAGAATCCCCACCAAATTCCTTCTGCCCCTCCATCTAAAAAGACTCATTCT